ATACACAAGGAAAAAGGAGTATCTTATGGCTGTGGACAGAAATAAAGGAAGAGGGGAAAAAGCAAGAGTAGATCCAAGGATGCAAGGTGAACACCTTGTCTGCCTCCTGGGCTTTCTCTTCAACTGTCCATGCGGCCGCCATCTGATGCTTCTCCGTCATGGATAAAATATCCTTGTAAAGATGGTCTCCTTTGCTCTATTGTTTTAAACAGTAGACATAATCAACAAATAAGACAAGTACAATTACATCTATAGCAACACAGACATAAAACGACTGTGTGGGTCAGCGGAACAAACCAGATGAAGCGGCACATAAAGAGAGGACACAATCCCAGCACGTCATCAGACACTGTTTCCCCAGAAAACACAACGCTCTAGAGTTGATTCTGAAATATGGACATTAATATCTTCAGAAAAGCTGAAAATAAGAATTAAAGTTGTATACAACTTCAGAAGACCCTGCTATGGTGTTTTAAATCTTAATATTGTCAAAAGCTTTTTCAGTTTTTAGCAATCACTTTTGCTCATCTGCTTTAAAGAGCTGTTTTCCTTTCACTGTCACAAACTTAGAAATTTAAAGTAACCAACAGCTTTGCTTTTTAAGAAAAGGTGAATAAAAATAGCCTAAGAATATATAAATCAAACGCCTACAATTTGGTAACATTCAAGTCAGACTAGATAATGAATTTAAGGAGAAGAGAGGGGTGAAAGGAAAAGAGGAAAGAGGAAATTGTAGGGTAACACCTGAACACACTTTTTAAAACTGCATATTAAATATAGTATGATCACTATCTCCCTCAAGTGAAATAAACGAGCCCATGAAGTTCTTGGTTGACAACAGGAGAGATTTTGGAGCATCAAAAAGAACAGATATAGATGAGAATGAAGAAATATTTGGAGAACATATTCTAAAGGCAATGCTTATAGTGGTGGCGGAGAGAAATAAACCATGGAAAGAAAAAGAATGAGTTTGGAGAGATGTTATGGATGAAAATGTTCTTAAAGTACTAATCTACATTTCATTACTAAGAAGTTTCAGTATTAAGTTGTATAATTAACATTTTACAAGTTTTCAACAGGGCTCATCAGTCTTTAAAGCTAAATTTAGCTCTTTATCTTCACAGTAATTACCTTAAACCATTCTAAATATGGTCTACATTCCTACATCCCTTTAATCACTAATTCGTTAATTATTAAACAAACTCTCTTATTTCAGAAGTCAATAATTAACTTACTAAATACAATATACATCAGTTTCTAGGTCGCCCTATGTAATAATTCATCACTACCAATTTACTTGAGTAAAATAGTGAAACTATTCTAAAGGTATTTCGAAACCCATACAATTTACCCAAGAACTACGTCAATAAGTATTATACATTATTAATAAATATTTAGTATTTTAAAAATTATTAGAAGTTACTTTTTTTTAAAAAAGGGAACATTTTGTAACGTCTTGAGAATCAACATAATAGATTAGCAACCTAAGTTTTACTGAACAGCTGGATTGAGACATACAGCCAACAAATAGCTAGTGACATACCCCTTGTGTCTGTAGGGACAGAGGTGTGATACGTCGTTTTTCCCATTCATTAGGGCGTGGTTCGGGTGTGGATTCCATAAAATTGCGCTTGAGTTCACTAATGCTAGCCTGGTGTTTCAGTATTTCTTCCTGGGCCTTATCCAGGTCCTAGCAATATGTAACGTAATAAAGGGGAAAAAATCCAAAAGGAAAAAACACAAAAAACAAAAAAAAAAACCCAATAGGATAAAAATAAAAAATGAAACCAAAAAATAAGACAAAGTAAACTTATGATTAAAAAAACATACTAAAGCAAGAAAAATGCCAAGTCTCAAAAGCCATATATCATCACCTAGGAATATGAGTTTGTCCAAATTTGAAAATAAAACCAATGTGCATTTTTTTTTATGATTCCTGTCTTAAAGGGTTCTGACTTCTTCTCTGTTTAGAATTGTTTAAGAAATCAGTAGAAGGAGGCTATGGAACTAATACTCAACATGGCCAATAACCCTTCTTTCTAATAGTTGGATTTGAAATGCAGCCCATGACTTTGTTCCTGCAAATTTACCTTTCTGATCAGGGTTACTACGAGAGTTGCACTCTGTAATATAATGAAGCAAGTGAAAATAGAGAAAGGTGGACTCAGAGCCCATTTGGCCTGACAGGAATCCAGTTCAGGATCATCCCAAAAAAGGGGGGTAGGGGGACCAACGGTTGGCTTTTTTCAGGAAATTCAGCAATGGTTTTTAATCCTTATGGAATAAACGGAACAGCTTCCAGAGGCTGCTTCTGTTTGGCCTTTCTCTAAAATAAATGAACGTCATATTGGTTTCACGTACTTGCCAAGCACAAAAGCCACCCACATACCAAACAGTCCTTATAAAAAGATGCGAGGAAAACTACCAGGTCAATTTTCACTGAAATAGCCCCTGACAAATGTCACTTGTGGGATTTTTTAGATTGGCCCTGAGAAATGATATTTGTGGAAATAAAAGGCAGTATTCAGAAAACAGTTTTAACTGAATTTTAAATGTTTTCTTATATTTCAAAAATCATGGGGCCACCTGTGGATTATAGCTTTCAATCCCACTACTCCCAGAGAAACAGGTCATGCATCTGATTAAATGAGATATTCCATATGCATGCACAAGCATAGTAGCTCATCTATGAGCTGCTATCGCCATTTGCAAAATCTCATGAAAATCTAAAAATCTTTGCATGGCATGGAAACATGACTGTGGCTTGAGATCGGCACATTTCTTGCACTTGTTCAAAGCAATGTTACGTATTACACTTCAGAGCATTTTAGTAAGTTATGCAAAAATACATTTCCAACAGTTATCAAAGCTGCTGAAAGCAACCGAACAGATTAGTCAAATTACTGAGGATTGCAGTTCTCCACCGAATACACTGCCATGTACTACCCAAAAAGAAGGGGGGAAAAAGAAACAAAAAACCGTTCTCGTGTGACACGGGGAATACAATACATTTTACATTCCTAATTGGGTGGCTAGGTTTTTTTTCCTCCTCTTTTCTTTCTTACTTTCTTTCATGTATTCTTTTTTTTTAATCAAAACAAACCCATTAATTAGCATACTCCCAAATGGAAGATTTTAAGTGGACCACATTCCTAACTGCATGGATTTTGGCACTCTCTCGCACCACCAAAAAAAAAAAAAAATTGTGGACACAGGGCCAAATGACTTAATGCCAGATCGACGAATATTTGTTCTGGTGAACGTGCATTAAGGATGGGATCATGTTACTTCAGACTCTAAACCCTGGAGATAACCCATTAGGAGAAAATAGGTTTACTTGCAGAACTTCAAGATTAATGAATAAAAAGTTTATTCATTTGATTACACAGAATTTTTTTTTTTTCCCAGTTGTCACTTTGAGAACTTATAGTAGATATATTCCTACCTAAGCCACTTTAGAAGAACAAAGCTGGACTGGTAACATGCACTCCCAAGGTGAACTTCCCCCATGCATTTCGTGCACTGTGCTTGAAAGGTGCCAGCCAGCCTGTGCGTGACCCCCCGTTCACAGCAGCCTGGCAGCCATTAGGACAGAGTTGTTTTCTTAAATTATACAAACCTCCAACATTAAATTGCTATGTCTGACATAAATATTATCCCCTTCTACTCTCAAGGAATTTTTCTGTGAAATTAAATCACACACAGGGGGGAAAAAGGCAAATAAACATAAGTGTATCAATCAGCAAGCACCAGAAATGACTCAGAGTTGGATAGTCCAAGACATTAAAATAAAATAGGAATAAAAATCTTAAGAACCTAAAGCCACAGCGAGCAAAACTCACAAATAAACCCTAAAAGTGCTCCACCCCCCACACAAATGATAATGGCAGGCAGCAGCTACCAGGTATGTAACTTTGGGGGGAAAATATCCACCTCCTCCAGTTGTGTTTCCTCCTCTTCCGTCTTCGCCTGGAAGTCACCCAGCAAGCAGCCGGAGAGAAGGGGAGTATTAGTGGAAATGCTACCATCAGTGCAAAGAAGCTGTATTGAACTTAAATGGTGAACCAGCATTACCAACCTTTACTGTCTGGCCCTCAGAAGATGCAGACTATTAAGCCACTTTGGTCTTTCTTCACCTACAGTGTTGCACAAATGATGGAAATGGTCTTTTGCAAAGGTGGAATGGAGAATGGAAGCTTCACTCTTTCTCAGTCCCTAGATTATGCGCTGCTTTTTAATATGTTTTGACTCAGGAATGAAAACATGAGAGTGTAAAGATGGCATAATTCAATCTGTTCTAACTTGAAACATCTAACTCAACTAGTGGTGAGGGCAAAGTGTCATGATGTAAATTTTGGCTTTCACTTTCTATCAGGGACAAATGTTCACCCTATTATTTAGTTTTTTAACACAGATTTCTTTCCTTGGGGGGAAACTGGTTTATTTTGCTACTTTCATATAAAATGGTGGGTAGTTAAACACACTCTTATATTTTATAGCCACTTTTCTTTCATAAAATTCTTTAAGCAAGAATACGTTTTCATAGTTGGACAGTTATCTAATGACCCAAAGAATTAACCTGTACATTTCAAACTAACATAAATACTGATGACTACTGACTCATGGAAGGGAATAGCATAAAAGAAAAATATTGGTTCGGATACCAAAGGAAAAGAGTTTAACCTTTACATGTTCATTTATAGCAGGATTATACATATTCTTTTTCTCCTTTACTGTAATAGACAGTGTCAAATCCGAGAGTTCAAAAGTGCTTTTATTTTTCTTAAACTATTCAAGCATTTTTGAGAGGTAAGCAGGAACTCAGAGTATCTTTTGATCAGCAGGGAAAAATTAGACACACCCACTCAACAATTTGCTAAGAATCATCTTCCAATTCCTTGGTCAGCACTTAATTCTCGAAAATGTCGATCTGGAATTCTTCAGGTAACCTTCAGGAATCATGGATTCTCCCACTACGCCTAATTATCTTCACAAAAACAAATCAAAAAGTACTACACATGTAAGCACTGCTTAGTACTGCAGAGGTAGCCCTATATTGGGGCAAAAATCCTCGGATCAAACCAGACACCTAACTTTAAATAAAAGAACACTAAGAGGTCCAGTCCAACCTTAGTGCTACAGAGTCCAAATTTTCAAAATACTATGGTTCATTTTTCATACATATTTGTTAAAGAAAAGATAACAGAATAGTATCTTCCTTACAGAATACATGACGGTGACTCTTATATAATATATGATTTTGAGTTAAAAAAAGAAAACAAACTATCTGAACTTCATCTGGGCTCCAAATGCTACAATAATAGGGAGACAAGGAGTTTCTGAGATTAGACCTATGCATGTCAGGAGTAAAGGTCACAGATGCATCCTCAAAAATGCAAGAACAAGCTTGGCTTTCTAACAGAGAAATAATAACACTAAGGAATTCTACTAATACATATCGATTACAGTTATGTCCAGTGCATCCTAAGTTCTATATCAAAATAAAGTTTCCATCCTAAAGGAACAGCATTAACATTTATCTGCAAAATGGACAGACCCAAAACAGATTATTAAGGGCAACTTAGGTCCCCCTCTCCTTGTTTTTATGGCCTAGTATGGTTCAGGTATTTATAAAATAATCCTACAACTTTGCTCTTAACTTAGAATGTGTGGACCTAGTCAATTAATATCAGTGGAGGGGAAGTGTTTAATTACACTTATTTCTCATGTACTAAAAGGATGTGTGTGAAAGTGTAGAGATCATACTAATTTGAGGTTAACCAGTGATGGAATTTATGCACATGTTTACACTCTACATTACGAAGGGTATAAGATGAAGTGGAGTGTGGTTGACCGCACAGATTTAAAGCTCATGTAGGAGAGCCAGCAACTGCTTCCTCTTCCTCCGTTTTGTCATTCAAGTCACAGTCATAAGAAACAGTCAAGGAAGCAGCTTTTGCCTCCAGATAGTAGAGGGATAGAGCCAGAGGAAGGGAAAAGGTGAGAGAAAAAGGCACTGACTGAGAGGCAGAGAGAAGGAGTCCAAAAATGAGGATGAGGGAGGGAAGGAACAAAGGGGAGGTGATGGGAACACGGTGCTGGATGTCGGTGGGGAGGAAGGAGACCCAGGCCTTGGGGAGGCTGGGGAAGGCAAGGTACCCACCATCATCGAGCAGTGAGGGGAAGCGAGGTGGAAAGCGTCTGCAGAAACTGAAGAAGCGCCCAAACTCTGAACCCTTGTGCTCAGCCTCTTTTAGAGGCTTCTCGTGGGCGGGAGAACAGTCAGTCTCAGGAGGGGCTTCAAGAGGATCCAAGCCAGAATCACAAGCCCCCCGCTCTGATGTTTCGCCCGGGGAAGGGAGCTCTAAGCTGTCTAGTGTGATCTGATCGGCCTCCCCAAAGGGGTCTCCCTCCCAAATGTCTGAAAGCAAGTCCATTTCTGGGGCTGGCAATACGTGTGGGGAAAGAGATGAAGCACAGCGGATGAGTGGTGAAGGTGGGCACGTGGAAATAAGCTATTCTCAAAGCAAACCCATGGTTGAATGTGAAATTACACAGCGGATACATTCAAAGGAGAACCGAAAGCAAGAGAGAGAAAGAGGAGAGAAGAAGTGGGTTGTTAGTGAAAACGTTTACTCAGAAGGATTGTATTAACACAGTGTCATTAGAAACTGAATTAAATGATCCATTTATAAAACAGGAAAACTGGACTACTTTTATCACATACAACTTATAGGTAACAGGCTGATTTAATTATTAATTTTCAACTGGTTGCAAACGGATCCTATGCAACTCAAATAGCATTATTACTTTTGAACCTGGTCGCTGACAAACCCTGAACGCATTAGTGAAAAGGCCAGTCGTTTACCAAAAGCAGGCAGAATTTCCCTTGGAATTTAAAAGAACTTTTCTTTTGTATCACATTATCTAGGCAGAATGGAACACAGACTTTCTGAGATTCTCAGCTCTCCTATTTCTGATGTAAGTAGCCACTCCTGGGTGTCTTGGTAGCATAATCATAACCTATCCTGACAACTTTTCAGTTACTGATAGATACCTTGTTTGCTGTGATTCCTGTTACTTTAAACTAATTTTTAATCAAATCCTTTGTGGAATATAATATTCACAAATTTTTTAACAAAGGAATGAAGAGGATCTAATGGCACGTGCTACCAGAAGCATCTGTCCTTGTAGCATAAGACAGGGCCCCCAGGGTGCCTGAGCCCTCCTCTCTGCTGGGTTTGGGGGCTGTCAGTGCAGGAAATCCTGAGACACTGGCAGTTACCTCATCTAGCAAGTTCTTTATAAATTCATGTTGCACATCTTTAAATTTTTCAAAGTTAAAATTTTGAAAACATTATAAATCCACAGGATGATTTCATTTCTTTTTCATGTTTACTTCCAATGTTACCCATTCAAAAGTTGCTTTGTGCAGACATGGAAAAGAGATCTGAAGAACTCAAAGCCACTTCAAATCAACTTCTAAGTGACTATACTTGCCCAAGGTAATATAAAATAACCCCGGCAAGTTTGAAAACACAATACAGATTACTTCTCTGTTCACTATGGTATACACACCAAAGAAGACTGAAAGCAACACACCATCTTCTCACTCAGTATTCAAAAAACAATTACTTAAAACTTTCTTCTTCATCAGTGGTAGATTATTAATGAAAAATCGTATTTTTCATAAAGACCACCTTTCTTCTTTTAAAAAATTCAAGTCAATACTACAATAAAATAATCAAGACATAGGCTACACATTAAAATTTACTTGAAACAAACCAAATATGAATTTCAAATCATCACAGCTTTTATAATTGGGGGCTTAATTAAATAGGATAATTATAAGGATGGACAAGAGACCAATAAATTACTTGCTTGTATTAAGGTAATTTACGCTGAAATATTTTGCTCTGAACACCAACCAGAAGAAGGTTAGAGACTCAGTCCAAACCGGCAAGGGCATACACATATTTGAAGTGGGAAATTGTATCAACACAGAACATACAATGGCTGATTTTAAGATAAGTGAGTTCTGAAACAACAAATGCAATAGACAGCCTCTTGTCTAAATACACATTTAAAGCCACGTATTCAACTAATTAACCATACCTTTCCTTCAGTGAGTTGCACGTGTGGGGTTTTAGCTGGGCTTCTAATGTCCCTGCTGCCATCACCATCTTGTACCACAGCAGGGCTCACAGCTCCAGGGCCACGTGCTGAAACCTCCCCAGCAGGGCCAGGAAAATCCTTCGTAAGACTTCGGTCCACACCACCAATCAGAGCTAGTTGAGAATGATCATACAGATTGCTTTAGGACACTTAAGCGATAAAATTTGATGAACGCCCTGCCTTCCCAGATAAACAGGCACCTTATAGACAATTAACAGAAATGGGAACACTGTTTGATCATGAAAATAATGTATCAAATAAACTCATGTTTAAACTTTTAATAAACTCTATAAGTATTCTGAATTGTAACCCAATAAATTAGACCGAGCTCTCAAGTCACAGATTTTTGAAGGATAAGACACTGATCATAGAATTGGCCAGTAGAAGGAGCTCTAAGGCCAGATGAAACACCAGAGTCAGGGTACTACGTCAGAATTACAAGGTGAGCAGTACTTTAATTCTCTGGAGTCTCTTTAATCTTGCCTGAACTTATTTCTGAATCTACCTATTGCAACAAATAATTACCTAGTTATTAAAATGATTTGCTTCAATAAGTTTGAAGAATTCCTCCATAAAGGAACCTTTAATTAGAACACCAGTCGAAATTGCAACAAGACAGTAAGAGTAGATTTTAGAGAATCAACTTCTATGTTTATGCTAATATTTTTCATTTTTTCTAACCTCCCTCCTGAATGCCTCAACTTGACCTACAGTAAGTCTAATACATAGAAACCCTCTGCCTTAGCAAATCTGGCCTTACGTGTTCCCTTCGTCTATCTACAGATGTGCAGGAACATATATCGTGTTGACATTTCTGTCATAGGGCAGATCAATCCAAGATGGCTTCAAATCTCAACAAGGCAAAGTGAGTAGCAACCGGCAAAAGCCTCTGTCCATCTGTAGTTTCTTCCCCAAAGAAGAAACCACTGAGGTCATTTCACCAGCATAAAACGCGCTTTCCTGACACAGTGTGGCTTGCTCTGGCCCCATGCCCCTAGGGAAGCCCACTGTTTAACTTTAGGCTGCAAGCTCTTGGAGGGCAGAGACTGTGTGTGACCCACCATACTGAACTTGGGCAACACCTAGACCTCTAATCCATGTGTTACTAGAAGCCTCTTAATCCACACCCCTCACCTGCCCTGTCCAAAACTTCCTTCTTCTCAGTCTTGACTTTTTGCCAAATACACTCTCATGCTTGCACCCAGTTACTCAAGTCAGATACCCTGAAGCCTCTTCCTTTACCCCTCAACAACCAGCAAGTCCAATAGAGCCCTTGGATGTATTTCTAAATGTGGCCGCTTATTTTACCACCCAGGTCCCTTTTAAGGCTTTCAGGGCTCTTAACACTCATACTTTGGAAAGCCCACAACAAATCATATCAAACATTAAAATGAATTCACATCATACATTAAATATAATTATTTTCTAGGCTTTTAACTTTTAAAAAGACTTTAACAATTTTTCCTTGGAAAGTATATGAGTAACTCTTTAACCTATGATTATGGTTTCTAAGCGCCCATCATGCATACTCAGAGATTTACTGCAAAATGAGAAACTCTGACCTAGAAATGGCTTCAAATGTAATGATATCAAAATTTTAATGAATATCCAATTTAAAGTTACATAAGGAAGTTGGCAAAATATTGACCCTGCATACTTTTGTTAAACACTTAATGATTTCAGTTTGCAGCTAATAATTTTTGTCAGGTCTTAAACCTTCTCATCCTTCAAGTCTCAACTGAAATGGTTCTTCCTCAGATATGCCTTCCTTCCCTGATGACCCAATCTGTAATGCCCGATTATACTTTCCACTTTCAGGAAATCATCAGTTCCCCTGCTCTCACGTGCATCTGGGGTGTTAATGCTCTCAATGACTGATTTGCCTCCTTTCTGGCTTGAATAGCAATCTTGGAATCTCACTGTTCTAAAATAGCTATCCTAGATTAATTTTTATTTTGACATTTGATCTTTAGATATCACACTGATTTTTACCTTCTACATAATCACTAAAAGACTTAACTTGTCAAATCTTAAAGTGAAGAATATTTATGTATTTAAATAGCCTGTTTAAAAACAGGAGAAAGAAAACATAACACATATCAACAACAACAACAAAAGGTATATGGATGGTGTGGTGGGGAAAATAGAGCTCAGTACCAGGTTACAGCCTAGCTTTGCTCTGGGGGAAAAAAAGAACATAAGCCCTATCCAAATAGTTCCCTGTCTGGTCATGTATTGGCATGAAAAGCCTCCTATTTCTCACAACAACACAATAATCCTTTTGAATGGCTGGCCCATCTGATGAATTACAGTGTCCAAAACACAAAAGGAAAAATAATGGATTACTGTGCCATGTTTGTTGCTTTTACTTGTGAAAATCATTGTTTTCAGATACGGACCCACTATAACCCTCTGCGCTAACTGTGCATACAAGATGGTGGGCTTCCTTGAGCACAGTTTATATACCTCAAAGAAAAAGCAGTAGTTTACTGCTCTTTTTAAGCCCTAAAATTCTCAACATGAGAGTTATAAAAACCTCATAGTTTAAAACAAAGGCTAAAAAGGACAGTGTTCCAGAAAGAGGAATGATTTCTCTCAGGCATTAAATGACACTGATCACATTTATTCAGCACTTGTATAAATTCTCTGTGACAAGGGGCAAGACTTGTAAAATATTTACATAACCGGGCACATTTTTTGGATTTACTTGGAAAAAGTACTCAGTTGTTGATGAGCTAAAAGATACTCTGACAACTATCACGCAGTACTAATTCACTAAATTTAAATCACTGCATTTGGGAACGTGGACATTTATTTGAACCACAATTTATGATTCTGTTGCACATTTTTTTCTGTGGTCTCATAAAACTATATGAAAGATTCTCCAGAAGCAAGATTCAATAACTATATGTACCAAAATGCCCACCAACAAAACTTGGGAAGTATCTGTGTGTCTGGCTGGATCTGTTTTCTAAGTTTATTCCAGGAAAAATAGATCAAGGCCAAGGAGTGTCAATTCTTCACTACTGAGAGAAGATTTTTATCTATTAGCATATCCAATCTGTTCAGTTCAGCTGATTATTTGAAACATAAGTTGTTCAAGTTCGTATTTCAGAAAGATATCAGTAATAACAATCAAAACCAGGTTTTTGCTGATAAACAGTAGTAAAATAGAAAATTTCCAATTTAGCATTACTACTTTTGTGTATATGTTTTGAGATTCATCAGCCAAAAAATGTTGGAGAACTACTTCTGGTAGAAAGGTATCCATACCAATTACTTGCTATTAGGTAGAAAGAAAAAAAAATTTTAAAGCATTCTAATATAAAATTAACCTCAGCTCTTTTATAGGAAATCTGCTATTAACCCAAAATTAGACAGGTAATAAGATATATATATAAAATGAAGGGAAGCAACATCAATTTATTTCCATGTGTAATTTATTTAAAAACTACATATATGTAGCTAAATGAGAATTCTAATAGAAAAAAGTTATACATGTCTCCCCTTGGATGTAAGAACAGATGACCACACTGTATTTCCTTTTTGTTAAGCACTGTATTTAAACTAATCCTTGGAAGCTGTGAATGGTTTCCGGTATGCTAGAATGTCTGTTAAGCTTTAGTAAGGGTTTTTAAATTCAAAAATGTGATGATGCAATGGATGTTTTACGTTCCTTTGAATAGAAGTTCTATATATGCTATCACACCAAAACCCCTTGGAATTACATGTTTGCCATTACTTAACAAGTTCAAGAAATTAAGTCACATAACATATATCACGATTAAGTCAGACCAGTAAAAACATCTGTCCAACATCTCATCAACAAGAACTCAACTGATATTTGTGTGTATTTACAGTGCCAAGAAAATTTACGTTCAGAATGACAACTTCAAAACACTATAAAATTATTTTCTTATGAGTGTAAGTAATAGTATTTTATTTACTCAGGAAAAAAGAATGGTTCTCCCTCTAGGGTATTTCTGGGGATCTTATTAATAAGTAGATCAACATTTTCTGATCCCACTGGATTAGAGAAAGATTAATGGAATCCAGAATCCTAATAAGTGTGTTTACCTCCATCTAGGCTCCTGGAGACCCGCTTACTAGAAGTGCGTTCAAAGTGCGGTGCCGGCCTGTCAATGAGGGTGCTGGCCTGGCGGGTCTGCGCTTGGGTACGGCCGCTGTAGCGGAATTTGGACCCCAAGGTCAGGAACTTGGCCTTTGGTGGCTGCTCTGGAGACACGAGCCTGTGGTGGAAAAAGGGAACAAAATTAGACTTTATGGATTTTTTTTTAACTTTGAAACTATATATTTTAATATCTCATTTCATTAAGTATGATTATTTGGTCCAAAAAATGCTGCCTAAACTTTCTAATAAAAATCAACATTATTTATAAACCCTCCTATATACAGAGCTTTATGATAATGATAGATGAATAAATCCTCATTCACATATTCATGAATAATGTTTTCCTCAACCAGAGCAAAAACGCAGCTGTTTTCAGTGTATATCAAAGGTTATTTATTTGTATTAACTTAAATCATTTATATAAACACATATGTCTGAATTCTTGCTCCAAGCCAGAAGTGCCAAGTAGCAATCCATTGCCATTAGTAATTCTTAATATTTATGTCTATTTCTCTGGGAAAGAACGTCTAACTCAGGAATCTGTCCCATCAAGTGATGCTGTCCCATGAAGAACACCGCACAGCGGATCTGCAGGGATGACGAACACCCTTTCTTGCCAGCACAATTCTCCTGCTTAAACCCCAGGTCCGTAATGAATGAAGTACAACTCCTGATGGCAAGTACTTCCAGACTTATGTGAAAGCACCGTTTCAGTAAGTGAGCCAATCTTGTCTGGTATACAACTGAACTTATCTTGCCTTCACTGCCTGATGAAGAGCTGGCAAAACATCTTAACA